GTTTCGAGCAGAGTTTCGCACTCCATAAAAATAATTGAACTCCAGGTCCTGCAGGTTATCAGTTGTTGGGCAGTCTTTGATGCTTAATCGCAACTAGGGCTAGGTTTCTGGATCTGTGGTGGGCCTTCTTGTTGGACCTGGATCTATTTCGAAAAGAGTTTCGCACTCCACAAACAGAATTGAACTCCAGGTTCCGCAAGTCATCAGTTGTTGGGCAGTCTTTGATGCTTAATCGCAACAGGGGCTAGGTTTGTGGGTCTGTGGTGGGCCTTCCTGTTGGACCTTAATTTGTTTCGAGAAGAGTTTCGCACTCCACAAACATAATTAAACCCCAGGTCTCGCAGGTTATAAGTTGTGGAGCAGTCTTTGATGCTTAACCGCAACTGGGGCACAATTTTGTGGAATTGTGGTGACCCTTCCTGTTGGACCTGGATCTGTTTCGACCAGACTGTCGCACTCCACAAACAGAATTGTCCATGTCCCGCAGCTTATCAGTTGTTGGGCAATCCTTGATGCTTAATTGCAACTGGGGCTAGGTTTCTGGGCTGTGGTGGGCGTTCCTGTTGGACCTAGATCTGTTTCGACCAGAGTTTCGCACTCCACAAACAGAATTGAACTCCAGGTCCCGCAGGTTATCAGTTGTTGGGTAGTCTTTGACGTTTAATTGCAACTGAGGCTAGGTTTGTGGTCGTTTCTGCTGAATGGGATATAATCAAAGTGCGAGTGAACTCTCACTTAAGCGGATTTGCTCGGGGTACATACCACAAGTGCGAGTAAACTTTCACTCAGATGGAGAACTAGGTGCGCACACCATCAGCGTGGTGATTTAATATGGGCGCTGGCTTGTCATTTGTATATTCTCTGATGAAAATGTCATCAAATTTTTACATGGAAAAATCCATAACATAGATTCGTAACATTCAATCTTGTCATCGCAAACATCGATCCCCTCCTTGACATGAGCATCTTTTCATCGAAGACATCCATGCATCCCATGGCATGAAGATGAGAGATCGAAACACTTGCAAGGTCACTATTATGAAAGTCGGAGA